CAATAGGGGAAATGCCCAAGTCATGTTGAATCTTTGTGGTTGAATGTGCAGAATAAAATGTTTCACAGAAATATTAACTCTTCAGTCTCTCTTACCAGTTATCTAAATGATAATCCAAAATTGGTTATCTTTGGATCAGGCACTTTATAGCACTAACTGAAACCAGGAAAATGTTATGTATGGTTGAGTTTCACAACTCAACAATGCACCTTCGTCCTTATCTCATGCTCTCCCTGCTATTCCAATCCTAGCCCTCCCTTGTATACAGATTTTCAACTGCATTTATATGTACCAGGATGTGTCTACACTACAAACAGTACAGCGGTGCCACTGTTGTGTGGGCACTTGGTACTGCAACAGGAGGGTGTTGTCTGTTGCTATATTAAACCAATCTCCTCGAGAGGCAGCAGCTAGGTTGTTGGAAGAATTCTTCCATCAACCCGACTGCTCTATGGTAAGGGCTAAGTCAACATAACTACATCACACAGGGTATGAAATTTTTCACAGCCCTGAGCCATGGAGCTAGGTGATCTAATTTTTAGGTAGACCTTGGGGGAGGGATAGCTCAGTGGTTTGAGCATTGGCCTGCTAAACCCAGGGTTGTGAGTTCAATCCCTGAGGGGGCCACTTAGGGATCTGGGGCAAAATCAGTACTTGATCCTGCTAATGAAGGCAGGGGGCTGGACTCAATGACCTTTTAAGGTCCCTTCCAGCTCTAGGAGATAGGATATCTCTATTAATTATTATTATTATATAGTTTTATGATTAAAATGAGTATCTGCTAGGATGAGACCACCAAACTCAACTGCCTGGTTACCCAAACTAGGTTTTCACTGGCGATAAAAGGCCAGTATGTTAACCCACAGGCTTGAACTCTTTATTATGTTATATAGACAGCAAACGAGTTATGGTTCCAACCAACCCACTCAAGTTAAGAGGTGGATGAAATTTCATACTATAAATACTACTGCAGGTGATGTACCTGATTCTCCATGATAGCTCTGCTTGGTTATGAAGAGAAATCGTATTATGTATAGTAGGTGATGAGCGCCCTGATACCAGAAATTATTCTTTATGTGTAGACAGTAGATCCATTTATATACTCTTCCCCCTCCACCCCCATTTTCCCCAGAAAATGCTGGCTTCTATGCCAAGAGTGTGGGTGGTTTGATTGTACAGCTGATATTGATAATACAAGTGGGCAGCAGGAACTGTAATAACTATACTGAAAACTCAGCATGGAAGAGACTGTAGGCCTATTATCCCCCTTCATTCACACACACATAGGAAATCACGCCCTGGATGTGTGAATGAATTTGGTTATCACTTGGCTTGAATATGCTACAGGCTTCTTCAAACTGCTGTTTATTGTTAGTGTGAAACAACTCTTGGGGTGGGAGGTCTGTACTATCCCCCCCCCACACCCCCCTTCCCTGCACAGTGAGGGATGGAGAATGTATGTGAGGTAATAAGTGTCCTAAGACCTGCTGTAGCCTAAACCAGTGACAGGCTATACTTGTAAAAAAAATGAATAATACTGCTGTTGCTCTCTGTGAATCTCAGATTCTGATGGCAAAATTCAACTGGTTGGAGGAAATTGGTGCAAGAGGCACGCTGGAAGCATGGGCCCCTAATCAAGGTGCTTTTCAGATGCAATAAAGTGCTAATTTATTTAATCATCCAGGAATCCAAATCTAAGGCTAAGCATCCCTGGCCGCTTGCTTTGAGAAAGGGAAAACTGCAGCTCCGGTTACTACGTTATATGCTGTCCTTCACAGAGTTTTCCAAGGTCCTCCAGCAAAGGGGAGTCATCCGTATAAAATACAGTAGGAGGAAAAAGGCTTTTTCTCTGACAGCTTCAGTTTTCCCCTTCTGTGTTTATATGTTGTAAAGGATCCCTTGCAGATAGTGCTGCATAGTTCTGCTTTAAAAATATTAGCAGGCTCCAGGAGTAAATCTTTACATTACAATTAACTCTGAAAATGAAAGGGTGTGTTTGGGGAGAAGGTGTTAAACAAAAGTTGCTGGCTGTAAAGCATTCTGTTTCCATAACTCAGCTGGTGGGTGTGATGCTGATACTGGAGCGTGCTCCACCCTGCTCCAGGTGGAACAAGCAGCTGCCTCCGCTCCTTGTACCTGCACATGGCAATGTAACTTACTGCCAGGTGCAACAGGAACCTGCTGAGGCAGCAACAAGGAGATAGCTGGGCAAGTGGGGAGAGCCCAGTGTAGCAGAGCTAGCCAAAGTGTGGCCTGTGGGTTTCTAGAGGTGTGCTCATCTTTAGTGTGGAGATGTGGCCTACAATCAAGCCCCAGCTCAGAGCACTGTAAGCTGGCAGGATCTTCAGCCTCCACGGGCCTCACTTCCATGGAAAAGATGGAGATAGCTGCCCTGTGCTCCATTTTCCTGCAAGTTAAATACAAGCCCTCCAGCTGCCGGCAAGTTGCCAGGGCAGCCCTTGTCAGCGAAACAAAATGTCCACCCCTGCCACAGCCACTGAGGCCAGTTGGGGTATAGCTTTCTGAGCAAGCCCTGCTGCAGTACCCAGACGTGCCCCCAGAGGCAGTGTGCAGCGACTAGCATGAAAAGTGCTCTGAATCAAAGCTCTGAAGGCATTTTTTAAAACCCCTTTAGCACCCGGCTGTCCCACACCCCACTAGCAGCAGCTGCTGTTCAGCTATTTAAGTAGAACTACCTACCCAGACTTTTAAATGCCTGTCGCTGAGGTGGAGGTAGATCTAGTTAATGGATTTGGGGAAGTGGTGACCACCCTCCCTTTCCTTGGAAATGGGACCTGAAACTTGTTTGTCGTGACGTGGTGAAATGGTACGGAAAAAAATTGCGACCGCTGATCTAGTTCATTACTGGTCTTGTTCCCCTACAAGGGAATCCATCATCTATCTGTCATTCTAGATATGAATATTGTGCATATCAGTGTAGTAACTTACACTGTGTAAGTGAACTGGAGAGGAGGATTTTTGCTTCTTTCCATCAATCCCTAAGCCAGTGAGAAATTTAGTAGGTAAATATTTATTTTTATTTCATATATAATAACAGTGACCACTTCCCATCAGAACATGCTACAATGAGGAGGAGTGGCTGATCTCTTTGACCACTGCTTGTTATGGATCCTGATATGTCAGGCAATTGACAAAGTGTGTCACACTGACCCCAAAGTGCAAGTGCCAGAGAGGTCAGTACAATATACAGCACAAAATCACCATTAAGGGCCATTGGTAGGCAAGGTACTATACACTTAGAAGACTAGGCCCCTGCTCTGAGAAGATGAACATCTAAGACAGATATTATTTACTTGTAGTGCTGTAGCTCCCAGGAGCCCTAGTCGTGAACTAGAACTCCATTGTGCTAGGTGCTGTACAAACACAGAACGAAAAGATGGTCCCTGCCCCAAAGAGTTTACAATGTAAGTAAAGACAATAAATTACAATGGACTGTGGTAGACAGGAAAGGGGAAGAGATAAATGTAAACAATGGGAAAGAACTAAAGCTAAGCTCTTGTAAACGCAATACTTTTCATGGACAACATAGTCTATCTATCTGCATTGCCTCTATAATGGCCAGATGCAAGAGTGGAAGTTGAGTGGATTAGGGGAAGCTCTCTGATCTCTGGTGAGGGGTGATCCTGTAGGGATGTGGGGTGACACAGATCTTGGAGTCTGGGCCATGTCAGATCTTGGACTGCAATAGTCCACCCTAATCATATCTCTTTGTGAATGTATTAGAGTGCTCAAGCAAGGCATTCGAAAAAAGAAGCAAGTACATTCTGGAAGAGAATTTGGACATGAGGAAAACAGAAGGGGAGATTTACTTTAAAAACCGTAGTTAAATCCAGATCGGATTACAGGAAACAGCCACAAAGCAGGCATCTGAAGTTGAGATCAGATGAGCTAGCTCTTTGGGCCCAGCATGAATTTTCCCTGATCAGCAGTTCTTTAGTTTCTCGTGACCTTCCACTCTTTCCTCCTCAAAAGGCACTTTTTCACATCTGTTCAGCTCCAGGGGAGGTAGGAAAGATGGGAGCTCTAGTGTAGATAAGGTAGCAGCAACCACTGCCATTTTAACCACCATGTCATGTAGACTTGTTCTGGCTTAGCCAAAATGGTAGTTAAAACACCAGTGTTGTTTACTCCACGCTAGTGCTCCCAGGGCTGCTACCATAGATAGAGCTGCACTGGCAGGAATAAGAGTGGGGATTTTTTTTTTTTTTAACAGAGAAGGGCAAGGAGGCCTTTTAACCCTACGCCATTCACCTCCACACCCATAGGACTTACTTGAAGAAAGCATCCATAATTGTAAGACATGCTAAATTTACCCACTCAGTCACACTGTCTTTTGTTCTCTTCGCTATAGATCTGAGCACCTTTTGTAATTCCCTTCCACCCTCCTTTGACTGCATGTTGTTTATTTGTGTCCCAATCCTGCCACTGGATCCCAGCAGGCAGACCGTACCACCAGTGATCTGCAGGGGCACAGGAGCCCCACTGCATTAACCTGATTGCTGGATCCAGGCCTTAGATTGTGTGGGCTAGTTCTTGCAAACAGCTGTGCCCATAGTGTGCCAGGCACTTTACAATCATATAAGAGAACAAAGGTCTTTTGGGGGCAAGTATGCTGTTTTCTGATCTAGCTATAATGTGCTTGGTAGACTAGAGGTGCTATGGAAAGAATTTACACCTCAACTGGGTCACTTATAGACAAGGAAGGAGAGATTCTTGATCTAACGGACTGTTTACAGGTATGCAGAAGTTCTCTTGCAACAGGGTGACTTCTAATATCCTCTGTTGTATGAATCTCTTTCTCCCTCCCTTCCCTAGATTCCTCTTTCTGTTCCTTTTTTGACCCCTCCCTTTATCTCCCTTGCCCCAATGGATAGTTTCCTGTTTCTCTCGCCTTCCTTTGGACGAATGTCTCTCTTCCTTCCCCCTCCCCTCTCTGCTATGCAGATCTCTCTCTCTCCCTCCCTCCCTCCCTCCTTCCCTTAGATTCCTCTCCCTGGCTGTCCTCTGCTGCTGTTTGTGAATGAGACTCAGTTTCTGAATGGAGTAGCTGGGGGCTCTGGCTGGCTCATCAGGGGAAGCAGTATTGGCCATGAGAAGGAGAGGGGGACGGGTTGTCTTTGCTTCCTTCCTCCCTCTCTGCTGCTTTTGAGGAATAAGGACTGCGAGACAGACAAGCGAGAGATGGAGGCTGCAGGAAGGAGATTCATTTTCTAAAAAGAAAATACAAATGAAGAGAGGGAATTGATCGTCTCATGCTAACTATATTCAGGAAGCAACAGCAGGGGGATCTTGCAAAGGCAGAGAAGAAAAGCCCAGGCGGATTGAGCCACAGTGTGGCGAGATTGCAAGCAGATCTTGTGGGGGGAATGAAACTTCCAGAGCAGCTGTTTTTTTTACCCCCTTCTTGTGTGTGCAATTTTCTGTACCCTGCAAAAGCTTTAATGAAACCGAGGAAGAACTAAAAGAGCCCGACGTTTGCAAAGAAACCAAAAGAATCGTTGCAATTTAAGAGGAGACAAAACTGAACTTTAATTTATTTTTTCTTTCCAGTTGCATCAGCTTTTCGGGGGAAGGGATCACTGCATTAACCTTTCCCCCTCCAAGTGTGTGGCTAATCTGCAAGAGAGACTAATGGGTGCTCCCTGGGACCTCAGGAGCAGCGTCCCTAGTTGAGCGGGGTACTTGAGGGGCCCCTGGCTGGGAGGGAGGGAGGCCAGCTGCCCCCTCCGGGGTGTTGGCTGGGGGAAAAGGGGCCGGTTTGCTGGTTTTGAGTCAGGCTGGTCGATGCTTGAAAGCCCTGGCTTAAAAACTCCGAAGAAACAAGCAGCAGCAGCCGCCGCCTCCTCCTCAGCAGTTTTCAAGCAGGAGGAGCTGCGGCAGCAGGATGGCCGCAGAGCTGAGCCCGGAGGAGGAGCAGGTAAAGCCGTACCCCACACCGGGCGCCCCAAAGCAGGGTGGGCGCGCGCAGATCCGAACTGAGGGCTCCCGGGGGGGGACGGGGCTTGTGGAAGCAGGAAAGTGGGGGGCACATACTGCTCCCCATCCCTCCAGTGTTTTCCCTCTGAGCTCTGTGGAGATGGGGTGGTTGCGGGAGGCAGGGGACTGGTGTATCGAGGGACTGGATCAGTGCCCCCGATGCCCCCCACGTTCGCTACATCCTCTTTATTCTCCCTCCGCCTTGAACTGGGGGGGCTCCCCAGTCCCTCCGATTGGGAAAGGGTCGTGGTGGGGACACTCCATAACCTGGTCTCCTCCTCCCTTCTGGGGGGGCTAGTTACCTTCTGACGGCCCCGGGGCTCTCTCCCCTAGGGGTATTATCCCCTCCATGGGAAGCAATGGGGGGATCACCCCGATTTGGGGCCGGGGACTCCAGGGTGCGCGGGGGCGGGGAGGAGGCGGCGCGGGGATGGGCTGGGGAAGCCGCGGCCTAGTCCCCGGCCTTGCGGCTGGGTCCCATGGGGACCCCCAGCGCCCCCACCCCATAGGGCTCCCGCAGGGGCGCCGCCCCGCCCCTGGACGAGCAGCGCGGGGGGAGGAGTTGGTGGGGGAGACCCCTTGTTCCGGAGGCAGCCGCCGCCCAGGGGCCCGAAAGGCAAAAACAGTCGGGACCATCCGCAATCCCCAATAGCCCCCCAGATCCCCCCGTGGTGTATGGGGTGTGTAGGAGGGCGATGGGGGGCCAGCCCCCCAGCAGGGGCTGCTGTAGTAGGACTCAACCCCCAGCCAGATGTGGGGGCCTCAGTGTCGGACCCGGCGGAGGAGGGCAGGCCCGGGGTGTTCCTGGGGTCTCCAATCTGTGCCCCTTTCCATCTTTTATCACCCCCCCCCCAAATCACCCCGGCCCTGTTTATTCTTTTGAGTGGGGGCGGGGATGTGAAACTGAAAATTGTGCAGAGAAGTTCCCTCCTTCTCCTTCCCGTAATGTTTTAGGGAATGGGGCGGGCGGGCGAGAAAAGTCTCAACTCTCCCCCAGGCCGTGTGTCCCCAGCTGCTCCAGGGGCTGCTGCTCAGTAGGATCTGCCTCCTGTCCCCGTCAGCTCCCGAGAGATCCCGCAGGGCAGCTTGTGCTCAGGGAAGCTGGCGTCTCCTTCCTGGACGGACCTGCCTCAGTGTGTGACCTTGGGAGGGAGTGGCTCTGTGGCTGTGTCTTTGTGCCTCAGTTTCCTCTAGTGTAAAATGGGGCTGTCCACCTCGCCAGGTGTGCTGGGAGCCTTACTGGATATTTGTGATGTGCTGTCCTCCTCCCCATCCTCCCACCCCCAAGCAAATGTGCTGTGGCAGTGGTATGAGGGGATGACTGGGATTATTGCCTCACCCATTTTAAACTGGGACCACCCCCTTTTCCTGTTTTGCCCTCTTCACTTCACTCTCTCCAAGGCTGGATTTAAGATTTTATGCTTCCCACGCCCCATTCCTCCCCGTGACGTTTGTATCTTCCTGTCACTGGGTTGCGTCACTGCAGGAGGATGTTGCATACTTATAAATATAGGGACTGTGCTGTGAATTTTATGGGGGAGTGTTAACCTCATCCTGGTTATGGGGGGAAGGTGGGTATGGGTCGTGCTGCTGATTCAAGCCAGCTCTGATTTTCCCATGCTCCTGTGCTCTTTAAAGATGAGAACTCTTATAGTCTGTATCTTTAACACTTATATGTCCACAGCTTCCACCTCCTGCGCCTGGCTCTCTCCCCTTCCCATACCCAGCTGTCTTTGCCCCCCTTCCCCAACCTCATTGTTCCCACTCTTCGCTGCTACCATTGTGGACTCACAGCAGCTCCTTTTTCTGCCCAAGCTTAGACCAGTGTCCTCTGAGCAGTCCAGAGTGGTCCTCAATCCAGCCAAGAAAATATCTCTATCTGGTATTCCTGGGAGTGGGGGAAGGGAAATGCAGCTTCCATCATAGATGTATAGATCAGATATGCTTGGTTTGGAGCTGTATAAAATCCAGGGCTCTGCCAGGTTCTGGTTTCAGTGGAAAATAAAGCCTGGTGCCCTGCACTTGCAGTGAGCTCCAGGCAGGCAGGTAGCCCCACTGTGCTGAGAGCCCCATTGAAGTCAAGGGCATGGGTCCCCATGGGCATTCATTATGGGACCGCTGGTCATTACAGCATGAAGTCAGCCTCAGCAACTGGCTTCTGTATGAGATCAGAGTAAAACACGATAGCTAGGTTTTAAACAGTGGGGAAAGAGGGCCTGGATTTTAAAAAAAAAAGATATACTTTGCTTTATATTTTCAAAGTGTCTTTAATAAATCAATCCTCAGACCACCCCTGTGAAGTAGGAATTGTAATCACCATTTTACAGCTAAGGAAACTGAGCCACAGATGGTTTGAGAGACTTGGCTCAAGGCCGCAGGAATCAGTATAAGAGCTGGAACTGGAATTCCACAGTTCCTAGCTCCTAGCCATGTGCACTCACCACAACTTTCTCTCTCCTTATAGGTCAAATGAGAGATTTGTAGGAATGAAATCTAAAGTGAGGTTAATCAGATCCCATGCAGGTTGTTCCTGCAGGGGTCAGGTAGGAATTAATTCCCCTTGTCACATCATTGCACAACTCGTCCGGGGCATTCCTTTTTTTTTTTTTTTTTTTTTTGGTCGTCTTCTGAATCCTTAATTAGTGCCTTCTGTCTCAGACAGGGTGCCAGACTTGAAAGACCAGTGCTCCAATCTGATATGGCAAATCTTTTGTTCATAGATTCATGATTCTAAGGCCAGAAGAGATCATCTAATGTGAGCTTGTGTATAATGTTTTCACCCCTTAGCTCACAGAGAGCCGAGAAGCTAATACAGGCCAGAGAACTTCCCCAAAATAAATCCTAGAAGAGCATCTCTTTCAGAAAAAACATCCAGTCTTAATTTAAAAATGGTCAGTGATGGAGAATCCACCCTGACCCTTGGTAAATTGTGCCAATGGTTAATTACCATCATGCCTTACTCCTCCACTGTCTCTGAGTTCCTGGCTGGTTCATGACCTGTCTAAACTTCATATTCTCTTAAAATATCATGAACTGCTCTACAAATCAAGATGATTCTTGGGTTATTCTCTGTAAAGAAACTGAACTTGATCCTGTGTAAATCAAGGCTTCACATTAAACCCGATGTAGATTTCTTTTTGTTAACATCAAACCCTACTGTTGTGGAGGAAGCCTGGTTTACACTGAGAGTCCCGGGTAAACTCCTTTATCCCAATCTCTCCAGTGTTACCAGATTTGCCTGTTGCTTTGGGATACGGTCATTTATTAGGGTTACTCTTCTGTGGAGAGGGGAGGTTCTGTAATTCTATCAATGTACTGCTTGTCACTTGTGTTCTCATACGGAGCTGTACTTCTCCCTTTTGCAAGTTCCCTCCCAATGGAGCTATCCTGCAGGACCTAGGTTCCCCAGGGCTGGGTTCTTCCAGCCCCAGAATCAGGCAGACACACATTAACAGAGCACGTCTGAGAGGACCGGGTAAATCAGCACTCCCAAGCTGACCCCTTATATGTCCCTGGACTCAGTAGGCTGGGTCGAGCAGCACCTCCAAGCTGTCACCCTCCTATGCCATGGGCACCGCACTGGAATAGAGTACACCTGAGCAGGCTGGATCGAGCAGCACTTTCAATCTGCCACCCTCATATGTCCCAGGTTCAGCATGTCCTCATCCCCACTTTCACGTTACACTTGTTCTGGTAGTAACCCACTTGATGAGCAAACCCCACAGGATTTTTGGGTGCTGCAGGGATCTTTAGCTTAGATATGAGGAGCATTGCTGCAGAGTGAATGGGGAAACAAAAAACATCCCCAAGGGGGGGGAAGAGAGAAGCTACCGCCTTAACCATGAAAGTTATTTATTGCCAGGTAATAACCATACAAGGGGAGCCAAACAAACAAAACAGTTATAATAATAAATCTGACTTTTATAATAAAATTTAAGTTCGATTTAGAAAACTATAACTGATCAAACAAGTCAGGGTCAGAAGGCTATACCTAGGGAGAGAGGGCTGGGTTCTCAATGCTCCGTGAAGCTTGAATTCATCGGGGTTCCCAGGTGGTTGTGGTAACTGAGGGTCCGGAGTGCTGGAGACAGGCAGAGCCCCCAGCATGATCAGTCAGGAGAAGATGACGTCCCAATGGAACTGATGCAGATGTTGAATACTGGCGTCAGAACACTTACTTGAGCGTGGGCAGGGGCTTTTGTAAGGCAAGAACAATGGTTCAAGGGAGAACACTAGATTTGTTTGTGTGTAAACTGATGGCTCAAAGGAGTATACCAAAGTTGTTTTGTTCAGGCTAGAAGATGGGAGCTGATCATTCCTGGCTCTGGGTGGTGGTCCTTCCAGGGAGCTCACAATGCAGTTAGGCAGCTTCAGTATTTTGAATACCAATAAAGGATTTATTACTAGAATTGGTCTGATAACTACTGAGCTGGGTGTGTGCAGGCGTGGGTTCTTTAACATCTGGAGCAGAGATCCCCCATCATGCAGTGCTTCCCTGCTTTTCTGGTCCCAGAGTTTTGTGTGGTTCTTGCCTTGGAATATCTGTTCTCCATTCTGTATGCTAATGGGGATGCCTCCCTGCCCCATCTTCGATGCAAATGAGGCTAGGGGTGTTTCCTTAATCCTGTCATCCTTGTTTGGAGGGATTTAGGTGGGTCTCCCACTGCCTTTTCATTGCTTTTTGTAAGTCTTTCTTCTGATTGGCTTTGGTTCAAGCAAAGGGGTCGGGGGAAGGTCTTTCATGAGTCAGACAGGCTGGACACTGCGCCCTGGTTCCCCAAGAACACAGAGCTGATAGGTAATACCGGGGAGACATCTGAAACCTTTGTTTACTAATGTTGCACTGAGGAAGCAGGAACAAATTCAATACTCATGGCTCAAAAATCCAAGCAGAGGCCTTTAGGGGAAAAGAACTAACGGTTCTTCTGATGGAAAAATAAA